CGGAAGTGGATAAAGTCAAAGCCCATAGGATAGAAGGATTAACATTTGTCACTAAACATTTGTCTCTTTACGTCACTTCCACATAAAGCAATTACGTAAGGTGCTTCTTTGTACGCGACAATACAGGAGTGGAGAAAGAAGTTGGATAATTTCAGTATCTGCGCTGTGTTTCATTACCGTTACTTCTTGCACATTCCTGCATCTAGGTTTATATTTTCTTTGAATTTCGCAATCTTTGAGGTTCAATCTATGTACAGCTTTCATTGTCATCATCACTATCATCATGCTATTCACTATTTGCATGTTCTTGCCCACATTGGCTAGTTATATTATCAATGTAACTAGCACATGTAAATATAAATGTTTAACTTCTGCCAGTTGCGGTAATGCTTTACATCAAAGAACAAAATACCATTTGGTTTTTAATATCGATATCCTATCATCCAAATAATCTTTATATTTTCATATAGCTATGAGATTAAGTACAGAGAAACACATTCTTTCGGTCGCCTGAGGGTTAAGCGTTCTTTTATTTCGTTGAATAATTTTTGGCAAGAAACCGTCGGAAGCATTTGCTGAAAAAATATTGCATATTAGCCTCAGCTCCATATTAGGTTACTGAAGTTGGACATTTTGCTTTCACCGCAAGGAAAGGAACATGGATGACCGCATAAAAATAAGCATAAAATGATAAGGCACAACTGCTGAAGATTGGTAGCAATTAATTGCCAATATCTTGTGAAACTAAATGTTACGGCAAAGAAAATTTACAAAGCTAAAGTTTAACGTTGTCCTCACACAGCAAGTTAATGTTAAAAAAAAACACATACTTACAACCACTGTCCGTTTATACTTACACTATTCCTAGCTCTTAAAAAAACCCTCAACAACAACTAGCAACAAACAAGTAGTGCAAAACAAGACATTTTCTGTCATATTCATTAAAAATTAAGATGTGTATGTGAATTACGTGTACGACAATAAATCAATTCTTGTTCATTTGTCACATTTTGGTCAGCACAATGAAGTCTAGATTTTTGCTGAATAAATGCTATAATTTTGACTAATACATTTTGCTGAGTGTCTGAAGTATTATCTCAAGCAAGTGTCTGTGTCGTTGTTCAAAGCACGTCGTAAATTAGCCTCTACCAGGCTTGAGGGCGCGGCTGGGAATAGTAGAAATTGGCCAAATAGAGAGATACACGCCGAGGGAGTTTAGCCATCCAGTTTACAGTTTGCCGGCCCCTCAAAACTGGATGGCTAAACTCCCTCGGCGTGTTATCTCTCTATTTGGCCAATTTCTACTATTTTCAGCCGCGCCCTCAAGCCTGGTAGAAGCTAGTAAATTATGTGTTATTCGATAAATCTAAGCTAAAGCTCAACATGCCACCATTTGTAGTTAAAGGGCTTTCTCAGTGTATTTGTCCCACAGTGCACCTCTCCCATCATGAGATGATAGGAGCTCCAGTCGTCGATGAAGTTACAACTCAGCCCCAGTGGTTCCAGAAGCGACTTCACGTACGACTCGAATGCGCATGCGCCGTCGACGATGGGCCCAAAGGGTTTTGGGATTCCAAGATGGCGGCCGAGCACAATCATGTTGACCATGTCAGGAAAGAACGCCCCTGTAAAAATACCATTAATCATTACAATGGCGACAAAACGAGGTTGATCCATTATCTAATAATTTCAGGAATTCTAAGACAAACTGTAAAATACAAACATCTCTCTAATGTGTGTTACGCTGAAGAACGACTAGCTGGCCAAGCATTTTTTAAAACCGTTTTAACGTCATTTCCCCGAACGTGCTTGCACGAAATACAAGTCTTTTTGTTGAAGCAAGATTTTTACGGCTGGATGCCCTTCCTAACGCCAACCCAAACCTTAGTAGCGCCCAGGAACCCTCTAACTGAGGGGGGAAATACGTGTTAAGTGCCTTTCCCAAGGGCACAACGTCTGAGTGCATGTCCAGACATGTCTGAGTCCAACCCTGGGGGTTGAACCTTGGTTTCCTTGCTTGACAGTTCGATGTTCTATCCACTACACCACACAGACGCCACATATAAACGATTAATACGGATGTCCACTACGTAGTGTTTTACCTGCTCCCGAGCCTTCCTCTTCCTTGAACAATGCTGGGATGTCGATTATGTCTCCTTCTGTCAGACCCAACTCGCGCTTCAACTTGTCACGATTCCAGTCGATGTCATCCTTGTAAATGAAAATGTACAATGAAACGACAAAGATGTTTCCTTCAACTCTATAGTCGTGTGACAAAAAAAGGAATGTCTACAAACAAGTATGAGTTATTTACTAACAGATGGAGTTTGACCTTGTGTAACAGTGGGGGTTATAGGCGCTACCAACTGACCCGGCCGAGGGGTCTAGACCTTTTCGGCCGAGCGGTTAGAGCGTCTGACTGGTGCTCGGGAGGTCGTGGGTTCGAACCCCGGCCCGGGGACCAGAAGGGGCGCTACCAACTGACCCGGCCGAGGGGTCTAGACCTTTTCGGCCGAGCGGTTAGAGTGGACTGGTGCCGGGTTTGGTCGTGGGTTCGAACCCCGGCCCGGGACCAGTGGGTTTTTATCTGTTTCTACTCACTCCTCCTGTTTCTTACACTTGACCACTAAGTATCACATGCACTAGTTTCCCATCCCCAGAATGCAACGCTATGCAATGCTAACCTCATTTGCATAGGACAGGAAGGCATCGGAATGATCCTGGTGACGTTAAACAGCTTGTTTTTCAGTGTGTTTTGAGGTGTTGGGGCATTTTATGCTCAAGGTTAATTAAATTACTATGGGTTGAATCTGACAACAAATAGAGAATGAATTTTTTTGAATGAATTGTTTGTAACGTTATAGTGGTAACGCTGTATGATGCTGTAACGTTACAAACCACATGTTCCATGTTGAAAAGTACAAAAAACTTCATTCTCTATTTGTTGTCAGATTCGACCCATAGTAATTTAATTAATGTTGAGCATATAATGCCCCAACACCTCAAAACACACTGAAAAGCAAGTTGTTTAATGACCAGGATCATTCCGATGCCGCCCTGCCCTATGCAAATGAGGTTAGCGTTGTATTCTGAGGATGGGACACTGGTGACACGCACACTTGGAACTGTGAGATGTCTGATTCTGCCATTGCAATACTGTCAATATTCATTTACTTTTGGGTGAGAAACATATTTACAAAACTTGTAACCAGATTTTCTGAGTTTTAATGTTTTAAAAATAAAACTTTTTTCAGAATATTGTCTTGGCCACCATGGTCTGACAAACCTGGAATACTTGGTTTTCCTCCCTCAACTTGCTGTCCTGTAAAAGTTGCTGTACCGTGACAGCAGCTGGTGTTCCATATCTCTCTTTTCCTGGATAAATAACAAAAACGTTATCTGTTAGTGCCTCTGGCTGTCAGAGATAACAGCTTTAGAAAGTTGTGTCGAATTCCTATATATATTGGCTGACAGCTGGTACAAGTTTCCTTTTGTACACCTCCCGACTGAGGAACCGCTTACCCAGCGAGGTCACAGGGTCGGCCACCATCTCCACATTCAAGGCCAAATGCAAACACCACCTCTTATCCTGATTACCCAAACACCAATTGAAAATAAAAATCCTCCAACCGTTCCATTTCAACTTTGATCATTTTATCGATTTGTATTGTACTTAAAAATATATTGTATTGCTTCTGTATTGATTGAATTTGTATGTACTAAGTAATGTTGTATTTTGATATGCCTTGTATTTATGCACTTATGTGTCAGTGGTAGCCGCTACCAGCCTTGTTGCTGCCTGGTTGCCACTTGTTATGCACTGTTGCATTTAAATAAACAAACAAACAATACGTACCTTCGAAGAGAGGGACATCCCCGTGCCCCTGTCCCTGCAGCCATCCTAAGTAGGCGTAGCAGGCATCTGGACTGGCGAGTAGTAGCCGGAAACCCTGAACAACATGTCATCAAACCAAAATGAGATGCCATCATTTACAACACTATCAAGAATCAATCTTAAGTTATCACTAAAAATAATGACTATACCATATATATACTTAATTAAATATAGTAAAACATTAAACTTTATCCCAACACACAATTTACAGAGATCAAACTTTCAGCGACCACTGTCACCTTCATCAGGATAATTTTACAGGGCAAAGGTTAGGAATCCGCGCATGTGTATTGGGGCCAGTTTTAGTATATAGAGATTGGCAATACAAAACCAAATGTAAAAAGTCTTTTTTGTGGGAAATGTTGCCTTTTTGGAGCTGGATGTTACAGGTAAGGGTTCTTGAATTTTTATTTTGTTCAGAAAACAGACTTTCAGCCATGTTTGAGATGTCCAGCAAAGAAAAGAAGATATATGTTTACATGCATTGCTGTGCTGTCCATGGGAGGTCAGAGGTCACCCTACATTGTAAACAAGGATTTTAACGATGTTTAGGTGCGTAGGATTTTGAAATTTTGGGCTAAATGGACAGTTTAGATGATGTGCTACCCAGTCAATGTGTGATATGGATGGCCTAAAACTCAGGTAGGTGACTTTTGATGCCGCTTTTCTGTCATGATTTACATGTATTAGATGCCTATTTTCTATTTCTAGGCTGTGCCCTGCCCATTAGTGACCGATCACTTCACAACGTGATCTCGCGAGAATTACGGTTTACAAACACGTGACCTTATTCACACGAGGTTTTACTGATACATGACGTAAGCAATTGATCAAAAGTGCCGGGAGTTTATATCGTCCACCATCTCTATTCAGTGAAGGCTGAAGTGCTCTGATATATATAGCCTCCTTAATGCCTCTGAGCACGTTGTGAAGTGATTGGTCATTAATTATCCTGATGAAGATGACAGTGGTCGCTGAAAATTTGATCTCTGTAAATTGTGTGTTGGAATAAAGTTTTACTATGATAACTACCAACACAAATGAACTTTCATGATATACTTAAATATTTAAGTCTAGTAGGTAAAACAGGTAAAATATATTAAGAATTAAAACATTTGATGAGCTATTCAAACAGAGGAGGGAGGTGAAAATGTTACAAGGAAAGAATATAGACTTGCCTTTCCTCCCCTTGCTGGAACAAACGTCATAAACTCGTCAATATGGCCGACAGCCAACCAATCAGAGTAGAGCTCTATAGGCGACTGGACTCTCTGTGCCTTTAGGAAACTGCGGACAACTTTCATCATCCGCCGTCCGTACTGATTCCTGCTGACAGAAAATGAACATTTGAAATTACAGTCTTTCGCTGCCAGGGGTTAACTGGCCTCCCGGGAATCAATTACTTGGCTTCTAGGCGAGATTTAATCGGGCTTCATTTAAAATTGTCTACACTGCAGCCAGCAATAATGGGCATAGCATGCCTATTACATGAGACACAAAAACTCAAAGGTCCACTTCAGTACAAAACAAGAATTCGGAGATCTCATACCTCCATGAAATATATGAGGTTTTGTAAATGTTTTTACACAGTACACTACAGTACAGAACAAAACAACATCTGAAATAGGTCAGGCTGTAAAAGATATGGTCAACTCCCTGTGGTCAACTGTACATGTAGCCTATTCCATAGGGAGAACTTCATTAATCAAACCGGGCAGGCGCGCTGTGTTATGCTTGACAGCTGGTGTTTTGTTGCAAAACCTGCACATCTGTTTTCCCTGCCTTGCATTAAAGACACAAAAACTGGAAGTTCTGCTGCAGTACCAAAGTCAGTCACCAGGAGGCCCATATTTGACCTTGACCTTTGGCTTCCTTAGACCTACCAGCATACCAAATATCACCACAATCCATAAAGGCGTTCTGAAGTTATGCTGACTACAAATGTGCAGAAACACACACACACACACACAGACGCGCCAAAAACAATACCTCCATTTTTCATGGAGGTAATAATGGCGTTGGGAGGGCAAAATCTGACCATTTCTTTGTGATCACAACCATCAAAATACAATTTTCATAACAAGCCACACATTTTAAAAGTTGCCATCAATGCTACCAAACCAAAAACAGTAGCATAAACACAAGATACCAAAACATCAAAAGAGTATTTCAACTGGCCGATGTGATATTGCAGAATGTATTCGATATAGAACGCTACGTCAACGCCGTGATGTTTCGTGGCACAGAGCATTAGGGTTTTAAGATTAGGATTTAGGTCATCTCACTTTAGTACAATTTTCCAAACCTTCGGGGACGTAAGAGATCTTTTACTACATGCCCACGACGTCTAACTAGCTATTAGATGTAATAAAAGTCATACGTAGGGGACGTAGATCCGATTAGAATCCGTCCGAGCGGATACTTCTTGCCGTTTGCTGTTACCGGCGGGCTGACCTCCAGGTTCCCGAAGGAGTCCAGGGAGTTGGGCTCCTCATCCTGACTGTAACGGGTCACGTATCCAAAGTCCTTTCCCTTAAAAAAAAAGTAACAAGTACCAAGTGTTATTATTGCGATTATTTAATCAATACAATTTCTTAGCATGAAAGTTCATCTGTGTTGTTACAAATCATTATGAAATAAAGACTAAGCTTTAGCTGCCAACACTTAGATACAGAATTGGGACTTACCCCAATTTTCCCCAAAAATTAAGGATGCGGTCTACATAAGAGCTCACAGACCTTCCCTGAACAGAGACGGGGGGCGACACAGGTTATCTGGCACGTATGACCCGCTACTACGGTCACGTGTTTCTGACGTCACGTTCCAAGAGTAGACGGGTCCATTCCGTGAACAAGGTTGATGGAGTCAACCGAAAATTTGGTTTGTCCCAATTCTGTATCTAAGTGTTGGAAGTTAAAGCTTAGGTCTTTATTTCATAATCAATACAATTTTTTGTTCAACAATAGAATTTTGGAGTCATGAATTATACTTGTCTTCTATTGTATTGGAAGCAGATTTCCAAAGGATGCGTTGTGCAGCTCATGGCTCTTTGCAAAGGACAAAGACGATGTACACGGAACAAACTATATCTTGCCGGAGCCGGAGAACACAGCTAGAGATTTATCCTACTGAGCCAGATGTCAAACAAACAAACAAACAAACAAACAAACAAACAAACAAACAACCTAAGATCGCACGGCATGCTCGTCTTCTCAAAGTATTTCGCTACAAGGCACCTGCCTACATGACACAAATGTTCAAATGGCTGTCACCCCCAGTGCTTAGAGTTCGTACTCGCACTGCTACGAAACAGCTCTACAGCTTCGACCCTCACATGCTGGACACTTCTATAACACATGTGGAAACCTTCAAGGGCAGCCTGCAGTACCAAGGGCCTGTCCTGTTGAACTGTCTTGCTGCTGATCAGCAGCAACTGACAGCAATGTCAGCATTTAAAAACGGACTGTAGATGACTGCAGATGAAATGTTCCTATACTGAGTCTGTTTTGTACATGTAAATGTTTGTAACGTCATTTGTATATTGTTGTGTTCAATTTGTGTAATGTAATTTTTAATGTGTGCCCAAGGATACCTGAAAATCAGATCACCTGATCTGAGGTATGCCCTGGTAAAACAAATAAACTTGAAACTTGAAATAGTGGACATCTTACAAGAAGCTGCATCTTGGCGAAGTTCTGAAGACCTCGGTCCCGAGGAGAATCCAGTACCACGGGCATGACTTCCTTCCCCGGTACATGGGAGTAACCCAGCTCAATCTCATCCTGTAAAACACAGAAAGGACATATCTGTCAAGAACTTGTCTTCCAAATTTTTCCTAATGTTTAGGCCCTTTTTATTCGCATCAGGTTTAGGGTCCCCAGTGGACATCATCCAATATAATCAAATCAAACATGGCCTTACACTGTAGAATAGCGTTATTTAACCTTGGTAAGGGACGCCCGAATCTATGTTGCAAAACCTGTGCTGGCAGTCTCTGGAAGTACGTCGGAAGATCGCCCGCCAGGTTAAATAATGTTTTATAAGATTATACATAATGCTGTCTCCGTCCCACACTCAACCAGGATTGTCCCGGTGGCTCGATACTCCTGCCGCATCAATCACACTCAAACATTGCAGGCCATCGCGAGCAGAAACAACTTCTACAGGCTCTCGTTCTTCCCCTGCACCACCAGGGAATGGAATGAACTTGAGCCTGGTGCGGCGGAGGCGGGGTCTCTCACCCAGTTCAAATCTGAACTGGTGAGGACCCTGCTGCATTGCTGCATTCATCATCATCAATGTAAATATTACTAACGCACTAATGCACCTGTCCCGTCTTTAGCACACACAAAATCAGTTGTCTTATGTTCCCTTCTCAGTTATCCTTGTTTTCCCTTTGTTTTTTATGTACCGGGTCACAATTGTTACTAATACTAACAATGCGTAACGGCTGCCAATAATCCTACACTGTAGGGCTGGGCAGTAACGGAGAAGAAGAAGAAGAATGAACAAAGCAATATCCTTTGTAGACCACAAGACACGAAGGCCTTATTTTCACACAATCGGAGAACTTTCAAGCCATTGATGAAGGAAAACCGAAATACCGTTGAGATCTTTATTAAATTGTTATACCCTTGAAGGTCTCTGTTTAATTGCAGTTTGCACTAAAAGGGCAACGTGTAGTAACTTAAATACATTTATAGATAATGTGCGGGGCAACCTAAGAAGCCCAGTGACTTATCGAAGGGGTTACCCGTAAATACTATTTCCTAAATAACATTTTACAAACATGTATTGTGAATTCAGGAGAGACCAATGTTTTGAAATTCGCATGTATGTTGGATTTAGATTAGAGATTAGATTAGGGATAGGGTTAGGTATCCTCTCAATAGTTTGTACTTAGTTGCCATGGTTGTTAATGATCTTGAAATACGTGACTTTGCGCCAGTTTACGTGGCATCCAGTGCAGTTTTCAGGGCTTGGAAACCCAATTTTTCAAAGCCAATATTCTACTCATTTATCTACATACTAAGATGAAACCACACTATCCCAGTGTATATTTGGCCCTCGTGAAACAAAAATTCACGACATTCTGACGGAAAATGGTTACTAGAAGGGCCCTTGGCTGATTTTTAGGGTACCGCCCAGAAAATAAAGGCCTCATCTTGGGGCTTGTTTCTGCAGTATTAAAAACTAAAAGTATGAAATGCTGACTCAAATGGACCAATGTGAAGCAGTATGTGCCAATATCACAAAGATTGTCTTATTCAGAATATTTCCAGTTTTGCTGCCCTGAAATCTTCTTCTTCTTTATTGGCAATGACAACAGGTCAAGACACAGGTTATCAAGGCAGTGTACAAATGGTATTAGATAACCCACATGTACAAACGTGCAGACGAACATCGCATTGGATGCTTTTAAATCAATGCAGACTCATGGACAATTTCCGCAAAGCTGTATAGGATAGCAATGGCGTCGCCCTACCTGCATCCACCTGTCCCCCCTGTTGTCCACGTGCGGCACGATGACTAACGGCACGCTGGCCGCTGACGTCACTTCCTGGAGCTCCTGGATGAAGGTAAGGTTTTCTCCACCTTCCATTTCACACACGAACGCCTGAGAATACAGCAACTTTTCAAATAAGAATATTTACTTTTAAGAGGTTCCTCTTTTTTCTCAACAATATACAATATTCAAATACTACAACATGTACAGGTATTTTTGCTGGAATCAAATCGTTTTTTGTAGCATCGTTTTTTGATCAATCCTGTCGGCATTTGTATCAGTTTCACTTGTTCATCCATTTATTATATTGTATACAACTTCTATATGTTAATTTTGTGCTTTGCTTGTCGTATGTATTATGTATTGTCTGGTGGCGACATGAATATAAGTGTAACTTGAGTGTGTCGCCACCGCGTCATTATATGTTTCAATAGAAAACTAGAAAGGCCAATATTTGCTTTGGAGCAAATACAGCGATGGGTTCACCACATTTTACGACATGGCAGGGAAAGAATGAGAAACACAAGGGAAAACAATGATTTACATTGATATAACTATAATATGAAGTAACATACAACTAAAACAACAGTTGGATAGCTATTCCCTACTTTATTGATTAGGATTTTTAATTGCATAATGCAAACTGTTGATTTTCAAAAAAAAAAAACGTTCATGCCCCGCATTCCAATGCTGGAGCAGAAAAGCTTGAAATACCTACCAAAACACTTGAATAAAGACATACTGTCAGTATGGAAATGCTCTGTGCAGGTGTTAATCAAGTTAAATCCCAACAGCCAATCAGCAAGAAATGCTCTGTGCAGGTGGAAATGCTCTGTGCAGGTGTTAATCAAGTTAAATCCCAACAGCCAATCAGCAAGAAGTATAGAGGAAAGCTGCATGCCTATTGGTTGATGCCCTGCATTCCATTGTGATGACTCATGCCCAGACGTAGTAAACACGGCACACTAACACAGTAATACATTTGCTATAACACAGCCAAAAAATAAAATAAAAAAATAAAACCATTCTAAAAGCCTGTATCACAAAAATTTAAAAAACGCCTAGGGGTATTTGCCCACTGTACCTCCATACCAAATTTCAGGACCTTAGGCCCTAAAATGAAGAAGCTGAATCCATTTTAAAAAATGGCAGGAGAAGAAGAAGAAGAAGGAGGAGAAGAAACATCAGAAAAAGCAATATGGGTTCACCACCACTTCGTGGTGTGGTGAAGCCATAAATAAGAATATGTCATAAAATGTCATTTATGTTAGGCCATGTTCATTCGATTTCATATACTAGTATATTGATGAGATACGCGCGATACTGCTATCGTTGTGACTACTTTAGCTGGTGTGTTACGCGGAAGGGCGGTTATACCGGCTATACCGACACAGATACAGATACTTACCTCTAACGGAGGAAGTGTGTTGGGTGTCATGATCCAGGGAGCAACTTGGAAAACCACCGTGTCTTCAAAAATGGGGGAGCCTCGTCCCTGTAAAATTAAGCCAGGCTAAGTCCTAAATACAAAATCTCTCACTTTCAAAAATGGAACAATATACTGTATAGGGAATCCAATATGTATATACTCTGTGAATTACAAAGATTGTTCTTCAGTGCCTGGACTTCTAAAATTGGAGCAAGTGTGTGAGGCTAAAAAAACAGCTGAATGTTTGGGAAATATGGTATTTCGTAAAATTAGGAAAAGGAAGATACCAGGATATAACATGATATATAATATGCTACGTGTATTTAATTTTGTGTTAATATTGCTTTCTTTCCTTTGCTGTTATGCATAATAACTTATGATTTGACTAATGGACTTCTTGTTCAATTTGACATGTTTTTGATAGTCTTACTTTATTGTTTAGTCAATTAGTTAGTAAGTTACTTCGTCGTGTTAAATTTATATTATTTTGTATCTATTTTCATTTAATTTGTTTGATTCGTTGTCACTTATTTATTATACACGTGTGTAAAAAGAGGTCATAAAAACAATTGGATTTTAGGAGAACCTACTCGATAAACCCTTAGGTTTCTTGGGTTCTCCCGCATATTTGGTTGTACAAATTCATTACATACTGTTTTTATTTTTATGTGCAAACTGAAATAAACAATAAACAAACAATAACTCACCCTTTGCAGTGTTAGGGTGATTGACACCTGTCCATCAAACGTGATGTCAGGATAGTGTAGTCCTTCCACAGCGAACTCGTACGTGGTAGTGTTATCTCTCAGGTCCACACGGTAGTCTAACTCCACCACATTGCCTGTGTCTGGTCCTATGATGTGTTTCTCACTCTTCAATGGTGTATCTGCGAGAAAGCAAAATGTTCCGTGTAATTCATTCTCTGACGTTCGTGGCTCGTACGTGCCAAGTAACTGTTTCAGTTAGCCTCTACCAGGCTTCGGGGGTGGGGGGTGGGCTGGAAAGAGTAGAATTCGGCCAAATAGAGAGATAATAGGCCTCGGGAATTGATCTGGTAGAGTTCTCTGAAGCAGGTCTCTCTACCGAACCAACTCCGGCTAGTTTTCAGTCACAATTTCGGCATGAATGTTGCTATATATTAGTATAGTGTTGATTCAACTTATTATATCGATAGAAAAACTTGGCCATGGGCACATTAAATTTTTAGAACTTTTTGTGATTTTTAGGGGTGATAAAGACTTTGACGGCGATTATCATCGAGGGAGACGTACATCCAAACTGAAGTTTAAAAGGTGCATCAAGCAACGTTTATAATCAGCTTTAGAAATGGGTTGTACAAGGTGAGCAGTATAAAACATCCATCTAGCGACAAAATATCAAACTGCAGCTTTAGATAGCCAGTCACAGGCGATATCTGTACCACATATAGAACATGAACCAGGTCTGAACAACAGAGACGAAGCAAGCCGCGGTGCACGTGGGTGAATGGATAGTAGTGGAAAGGCAAGGACAGCCGCCATACTTGTACCGAGGAGGTTGGAACAGAACAAACCCTGATTACCTTGACAATATACATGTACATGGAGACAGATCTAATCTAAACTACAAAGGGTAAAAAAAACTTGGTCGACGAGGAAGAAAATGGACATACATGTCCATGAACACTGAAAACAACAGCGATGTTAGTATAATATGTACTGTAGAGTGACATGGACAAATCGTGTTAGGGAGAAGAATCGAATGAGTACAGTGCACCCATAAGACCATACAGGGCAGTTTACGTGTCAAAACTAGACGAAGATGCACGAAAAGCAACAGAAATGCATCCAGAAACAACACGAGAAACAACACGAGAAACAACACGAGAAACAACACGAGAAACAATACGAGAAACAACACGAGAAACGCTGTGTTGTTCTAGCTGCATGAAGGGATGAACCAAGAAAACTCCACATCGAAACTACAGACACCATAATAATGCTGTAACATGTACTGTAAGAATAACTAAGAATAAGTACAGGGTGTAGATGAAGTGCTTCATGGTCTTTTTAGACCGACGAATGCCTACTACTACTATGTACTACATGGGAAAGGAGTCAAGAAACACACGCCAAGAAGACACGACGATGACGTCTTCTGAGAGTTCTCCGACATCTGTATGGCTTTACCTTCTTGTTTCGGTGGCTCGTCTCTGGCTTTGTCTTCTATCAGGTTTCCTATTTGGTCTCGCATCTCCACAAGCCCAATGTCGATATCAGGAGCGTCTTCCTCAGGCTTTGTCAAGAATTCGTTCAGCATTTTGGACAGATCTTCCAACCTTCTGTCCTTCTTAATAACTAAGATGTACAAGAAATATATTTTGATATCCCAGAAAAGAAGGCGGGCTGATTCTAGTGAAGGGATTGAAAAGTATTTTTAGGTGTCAAATATGTCTTGTGTCCAACCAAAGACGCGTTAAGACCAACAAAAACTAAATGAGAAATGGAACTTGTTAATGGTGGGAGGGGGGGGTATTGGTTAAGTGTGAATTTCAAATAGATGTAATAGCTCTTTGAGAGGTTTTAGTGTCAACCATTCAGATTAATATTAGTAATATGTATAGTAGTCTTTTGCATAGTCATATATTGCTTTTTCTTGACGAGTGCTCTGTTAGTAGTACAGTAATGGACGGAATCGAAGTTACTTGATCTTATCATGAAAAAGGATATAAAGAGTTATTTTATGAAACAATTTATCTTATGAGTAGTACATATTTCTGAAACATTTAGGAAATTACATGTTAAAAAAGCAATCATTTCAATTTTACAAAATATATAAGCAAGCATGTTATATAAGCAACGAAATGAGGTCACCGCAATCGTACATTCAAGTAACATTACTGCCATGTATGCTAAGCGGTAAGAAAACTTGCGTCTGAGAATATTTTGCATAAGCGATTCGGATTAAATCACTATTAATTTTTGAAAGCACGTTATATTGCATTACGTGTTTTAACACGTAATGCAATATATCGTGCTTTCAAAAATTAATAGTGATTTAATCCGAATCGCTTATGCAAAATATTCTTAAACTTAAAAGTTCATGTGTGTCACTGTGCACATGTATGTGTATGTACGCACGCGCGTGTGTATGTGTGTGTGTGCGCGCGTGTGCGTATGTGTGTGTGTGCGCGCGTGTGTGTATGTGTGCGCGCGTGAAATGGTAGCTGTGATATCATAGAATTATTGACCAAACGTCTAACCGACATGACTAGAATATCTAGACAGACAGATATATCTCCCCACCGTCCGGCTGTAGACAGAACATCCCGATCTTGTCCGCTGTTTCCGGCGGTGTACTCAGTCTGATAGAAAAGTCCGACGGAAGCTTCGGTGGTCCACGCATGCGCACAACCATCGGGCTCATGTCCTTCAAATCTGATGAAAAGAGTGAAAATTAGTATAAATTTTAAAGTTCTTCTGTGTTGGTACAAGTCATTATGAAATAAAGACTAAGCTTTAACTCTCAACACTTAGATTACAGAATTGGGACTTACCCCAAATTTTCGGTTGACTCCATCAACCTTGTTCACGGAATGACCCGCTATTACGGTCACGTGTCTCTGACATCAAGTTCCAAGAGTAGACGGGTCCATTCCGTGAACAAGGTTGATGGAGTCAACCAAAAATTTTTGGGTAAGTCCCAATTCTGTAATCTAAGTGTTGGAAGTTAAAGCTTAGTCTTTATTTCATTAAGAGTGAAAATTCTTCATCAAAACCAAACATGTTATAACTTTTTCTTCAGAAGATTATAAGATGGGTTTGAGCGTCATAAAATAATGAAGACAACATTAAGAGAAGGCTGACAGAATTAGGAAAAATTTACATTTGCTGTCCAAAAATTGGATGTATATTCAAATGTGGAAACAGCATTTGTAGAAGTCGAACCTGACCTACCTAGTGGTCCGTCAATCCTACTGTTTTTATGATCGGGATCAAAGTTTTCTTCGAAGTCGTCGTTGTCATTGTTGACGAGTAGTACAGCGCCGTGTCCTGT